TGATTAATTTAAGACCCATTTAAGGCAGATCAGTTTTACATGTGGACTCTCCTTATATAGTATCAACAGTATTGGCTGGTGAATTGATTATGTAAGCTAAGAAAAGTTTTGCAACCACATTTGTAGCAAAAGGTAATTGTTTTGTGACCTGCTTTTAGCACTCATGTAGAAGTGATTTATTAGTAACATCCCTTAACCCTTTAACTCCCATGAGTGACCAAGACAAAATTTCTCCCAACAATATCAATACAATATCAATCAGATAAGTGATGAGAATAGTAAAAAAATATCAATTTAGGGATAATTAGTTGATTCAATACTAACTTCTCTGAAATAACATTATAAGAACTGTATGGTTGACAGTAAGGAGAAGTACAATTTATTTGATCTGGGAGTTAAAGGGTTAATAATATCAAACAATCCAGACAAGGGATGTTAAGAATGAGAAAATACAAACAAATTTTCTTGACTTATTTGTAGGGAAAGTTAGTTGAATAAGAAGGAAGAAGTATGAATCCTATTTTGGGTCAATTGTTTACAGCTCAGTTCATTACATGCAGTGATTTTTTATTCTTACTATTTATTATATAGGCTGGTGTTGAGTCAAAAGTTGAATTGAAGATACAGTCTGCCCTCACTACTCTAGGTAATAATAGTCTCCTTTTGTTGATGTCTGGTGAGTTATTGAACCTCAGCTAATTCCATTTCCTTGGTCAGATGCTCTCCCACACTTTACTTTAGAGGTTACTACATACCAGGTTCACATGACAAGAAGCTCTGTGTACAGCTAGGAATAGCAAAAGAATATCCTGTGTGGAGATACAGAGGGACAGATGGTGAATACTTGAGCAAATAAACATTAAAAACCCTCAGAACAGATTTATGCTATAACAAAAAGATATATCTTATTGTGTTTTGAAACCTATACACTCACATCAAATGGTAATAACTCTGACCTGAAATAATTGCCTTTTTACAGATGAACTTATTGCTGCAGGAGAAGCTGAAAGCTTTGATCTTGCTTTTATTGATGCTGATAAGACTGAATATGACCAGTACTATGAAAAATCTTTGCAGCTTCTGCGGCAGGGAGGGCTGATAGTAGTTGACAATGTAAGTATAGGGTCAGTGTAAGGTATAGGATCAAAAGATAGATCTCTTAAAACCCTGTGGTGATTAACATGAAACTTCTCCCAATAATATCCATACATTATTCAGCAAACAGGTAGTGAGAATGTTCAAATGTATCAGGTAGAAGCTGAAAATGACCAAAAAGTGGCTCTCAAGGAGTAGAAGCAGAGATTAAGTTGCATAAAATTTTGCAAATTATTTGACATTGTTTTAATTTTTTATATATTTTTTTTAGGTTTTGTTGAACGGTTCAGTTTGCGACCCTAAGAAAATAGCGACAAATCCAAGGACAAGAGCAATACACAACTTGAACATGAAACTTCACAAAGACACTCGTGTCACCATTAGTTTGATTCCCTTTGCAGATGGTGTGACAATAGCAATGAAGCTCTAAAATATTATCAATAATTATTATAGACTGATTGTTTCAAACGTGTCTAGTCATTGGTTAAGCATATAGCCTTGAAAGCTTGAATAAAGTTTGCGTAAAAGAGAAGATTCTTTTGAAATTCCTGCTTCTTTCTTTTTCTATTCAGGTAACTTTTACTTTTCCAAAAATTAATTTGAATCGAGTTATCTTTGTTAGTTCAGCTTGCATACCAGAAAAGAGTAGAACTCAGTAACCATTAGGGGTTACCTTTTCTAGTACTTTAGGTTCACTTAAAGTTTTTTTTTTTATCTTTTTTATGGTATTGACTGAAAGCTAATAATACTACAATGAAAGTTCGCGGTTTGACCACTCCGTACTATGAAGCAACCAACAGTACATATACAATACATACAAAATACATGCACCGTACATGTGTAGTACATGCACAGTACATGCACAAGACATGCACAGTACACGCACAAGACATGCACAGTACACACTAGAATGCACGAGCATACTTACATAAATCGAAACACAAAAATTAATTAATTTAGGGGCGAATCACATTTTCAAGTGCCTTATGCAAACATACGAAGGCGCATACCTGGCCTCTGGAAATAGAACACGTGTAAATGTCCATTTCTTCATCCGTTGAAATGTATTATACGTTGATATCTGCAGAAAGGTCTGAAAATTGGCTAAAATCACGTTAATAATAGTAATTTTGCATAACTCTCCATCTGGCCCCTAAGAGCACTTGTTATTGTCACATTATTTAAGAAAATTCCTCCCTGCAGACCCCAGGGGAAATAGCCCAATTTTTTTTCTTTATTGTAGTTGAGAGAATTTGGGGATATACCATCATCCTTTACTACAGGCAAACCAACTGATGCATTTCCGGACTCTTACAACTGAAATACGTGGAAATTGAAAGAAACTGACCTTGCCCTGCCTTTCTTTGTCTAAAAAGATATGATTTGTTACTTTAAAACAAAGTAGCCTGCCCACAAGCTAAAGGAATCCCCTATCCTACAAACCTAGTATGAACTGTATCACACTTAAGTCTGAGAGTTTCAGGACACTGACTTGAAAAGTCAAAAGATTCTTAAATCGAAATTCCCACAGAGACATTTCAATAGGTAAAACAAGTTTACCTCAAATAATTCTAAGTCGGGTTAGATTTTTGATAAACGTTTCGTGGGATGTTCCATCCTTGTACAATATGTGAACAAAAATCAGCGGAATGATAGTACAACTAAAATTCGTAAAACTTAGTGGTATGACCAAACTAATGCGCCAAAAAATAGTATCTGAGAGAAGAAAATGAACCGCTCTTCAAATACAAAATTGAAACTAACCGGTGCCGCCAAAACAGTTACCATACTGAACGCAGAACAAGAGCGTTCTTCAGTAGTTTCGACACTACTTCCACAGAGTTTTCAATTGTCACATCGCGCCCAGGGTAATCTATGTCGTGGATCGGCCTGGAGATCTTCCTACATCTTCGATCAAAGGATAGTGCAAGCTGAGCCTCATTTACAGAAAATTTTGATTAAAAAAAATACAATTAAATTCAGGCAACGATTTTCTGAGTTCTTATTTGTTCACTACGGCGATTCTGATGACCTAATTTCACGCCTTTAGAAGCACCATGCGATAAAATTACTAAGGAGATCTACAAAGCATGTAAATTACCTATTTGTAACGACATCACTGGTTCCCTTTCAACTCTGCGCATTCTGAACAACTACTAAACAAGTAATGGAACCCTTTTGTGTCATAGGTGTCTTTCCACTTAATGTATTCTTGACTCTTGACTAGAGCCTTCCTTTGTTGAGCAAATCCCTTAGTAAATTCTGTACCTTTTCAGGCTTCAAAGTGTTACCGCGTCCTAAAGCACTTAAAATTCCCCAAAATTTGGCGTTAATCTGGGTGTGCAAGTTAATTCGTAAAATTAAACAATTTTTCGCGCGGAAAACACTCAAAAAACAATTTTAGTCCTAAACCGAAAAACACTAAATTTTCCACTACACGCCTTTGCGTTAACTTTATGGCATGTTTCTAGCAATTTTTCAAAATAATATTCTTAAACCTAACTGTTTTGTGAAAAATAACTCCTATTTGTCACTACCGAATAATACCTTACACTGCCAGAGGTCTGCGCTTTATTTTCTTAATTTCTGAGAAATTTGCGATGTGAACAAAAGCTACTTTTTTTCGGCGCCGCTTTCCCGAATTGGTGCAGAAGAGCTTATGATACCACTTAGCAAAGATTTAAAGGATTAAATATGATTTTCGTGCAGTTGCCGCCTCGATGAAAAAAAATCAATAAAGCTCTGAGTAAGAAATCGCGCTGAGATTGAATTAAGCATGTTTGTAGCTATGTGAGGAGCAGATGCTGCTGAACTCTTCAAGAGATCCTTACTTGAAACAGTTGGAACTGTTAAAAAATATTATATTTTTGACCTGACTTTGATTTAGTAAAAAGAATCATAAGAAAGTAGTTTGGCACCATTTGTCGTTTTCTAAATCGATCGAATTAAAACCGCCTCTCAAATAATTAGACAAAGGAATTTTCTTTATGCAAATTCACTCTATTGTTTTAAAACTATTTTCATTTTTGATTTATTTTTACACTCACATCGACAAAACAGAAATCTTAGTAAAAAATTCCCTCTATGATTCATAACCCTTACCACTACAGCATGATTGTTGGTTACTGTTTGCCTTGTTCCGCTCGATTTCCGTGTTATACCTTTTTCCGCCGAAAGAAAACTAGCGACTGAGAGGGAAATCACTTCGTAAACAAAACTGTCTTCCAATTATTGTTTCAGGAAATTGAAATTAGAAAGTCACACGGTACTCTGAGGAGGGAATGAAATTTACAAATAGTGTAATTTGGATGATTGAAAAAAACATTGCTTGCTTTACTGAGGGGTTTACGGTTCTGCCTTTTTCTTTTATCTATTAGCAAAATTGATATTAAATGTGGACTGAAACTTTGGCCTTTGAACGATAAATATATACTTTTTGCTTGCCAGTAAATTCTTCACAGTACTTTTGTTGGATTTCCGCCTCAACTTAGATTCCCTTTCCCGGCGGTCCTTGCATGCCAAGTGCCTCTGTAACTCGATGAGAAAGCATTTAAATTGAATGCAAGATTTCCTCCTTTCGGAAAAGAGTCGGGACACAAATTATTGCAACTTGGAAACACAATCTTCTTTATTGATATTGTTCAGACGAGAACATTTGAACTTCTTGTTCACAGATTATAAGAGAAAACCACTTTGTGAATTGGAAACTTAAGTTTTGTTTTTCTGTTTTGAATGCCTGACCACTTTCTGCAGAAGAAATAGAAAAGAATAGTGCTTTTTAAATCTTATAATTTGAGCTTCACAATCAAATATTCAAATGGTTCAATTTGAGATCCGAATTTGCACCATCAAATTGAAAGCACTTGAAATCTAACACGAGTCTGATATAAGCGACGCCTGAAAACAGGTGACATCTATCACAACATTTTACCATAGAGTTTCCAAGAGCAAAAAGCGTCAGCCTCTATGCCACTGACGCTTCAAACAAAAATTCCTTTATGTGTTTATTTTGTTTGTGAGGAATATCCATTTTGAGTTCAAAAATTGCTTGCACGAAGGAAAAAACAGTGTGAAACATGTACAAAGGGATCCAGAGTTAGGTGACGAGCACTCAAGAATTGCTTTTCATTAACTTGTTTAGATAAAGGTGTCTTCGAAGCTTATTCAATTAGAAAATATACAAGAGATTAGTTTGAGGGGAAAGGATTTATATCTCTACGCGGATATCACTAGTAGGTTAATAAAATTGACAAAGCTCTGCTTAATGATATGACATCATACTGGTTACGGAAATAGAGGTTTTAGTTTTATCTTAGTAAAAAAAGTATGGAATTTATGCAGCGGGGTGATAAACTTGTTTTTCACAATGCACCGCAAATTTACCTAATTTTGTGGCCGATTTTAGGCTGACGCTATAGCGCACGCGCAGACGCCCACTAATATCGTCATGAAAAGTAATCATTTGTTGAAAGTGCTAATGCAATCGGATTAAGCGATAACTACCAATAAAAACACTACAGCTGATCTCAAATACAGTGTGAAGATTGGTCATTAGCGGGAATGAGCGAGAACCTGCCCCCTGACGGGCCAGGACTCAACTAACACACAAGAGCAATCTTAACTAGGCTTTTGTACGGAAATTGACCACAAATAAACTGATATGTTTCCAAACATGTATAAAATGAAAGAATGTGGTTTCTATCTTGTGTTGCTTTCTAATACTTGCATTTTTTTTCCTTTTTCAAGTCAATAGTTTTAGAAGCGTGTTTGTCGTAAGTAGGAAGCTTTAACTTCAAACAGAGCTCACAGTTAGAAGTTGTTCCCATCTTATCTTTTCCTGTATAATCTTTGAAATGGTAGAAATTAAATCAGCATGTTCTCTTATCGGGAATTTCAAAAAGTCAAAATGAATCTTGAGGAATTGAATTCTTCAAAAATAATTTATTTTATTTCGGTCGCCCTTATTACAAGAAAGGAACAAAACATCACAATGTTTTGATGCAATATTATTCCCACTTGGCAGATGACCTCTCGTGAAGGCTGAGACATAAACATTCATCTGTAAAGTCTGGCATTTTTGAACAAGTAGATAAGTCTCGTAGATATGGAAATACCAATGTGTTTTTCACATCTTGTATGATCATTCTGATCGATATCAATCGAGTATCTAGCCCTATCCTAGTTAGTTATCTACCATTATTAGTTCTGTCAAATCATTTATCTAAGAAATTTCTCGCCCACATGAGCCATCTCCCGCAATGTTGAACCCGTTTGTCGCATTGCCACCTGCTGGCGATCGCTGTGCCGGCCAATTCTGCTCAATTTCAGTTAATTGCCTGATATAGTTGCTAATTTTAATAATCAAGCGGCTATTGTTTCATTTATTTGACCCACACTTAATTGATACAAGCACCACAACGCACGCCGGAACTGCTTTGCATTCACACAAAAGGTGATGTGGGCAACTCAATGAATATATTGCGGTCTGTTGAACGATCGCGACCCAGAAGATCCATAAACATACAGAAGTTAAGGTGGTATTGTAAGCTCGAACTGGTAACTCGTCATTTTATCACTCTAAGGGTAAGTTATATATAATCGCACCATAAGAACATTCCTTAAGCCACAAAGTTTAGGAACACTATGTCGAATTTTTTCTTCGAAAAAAAATAAACGTTAAAATGTGACAAATATTTTAAAATTAAAAAGGAACTATATTTTGACCACAAATCTGAGCCACAAGTCAATGGAAAACGAAACATTTGCTTTAACTATAACTTTTTAAAGCCATAACTGTTTCTTTCTTTTTGACAGCATTATTGTTGCCCTTCAAAAATCGTTTTTACCAAAAATGTTTTCCCCCCCCGATGAAAATCGTAAGCTTTGATATCTAGACTTTTACACTTTGAAAGCGATTGTGAATCTTGTTCCTCCTCTGAGCATGAAAACGACTCTCTTCAGAATTGTTTAAAGATGAACTTATATCAACCCTTTAAAGTCTTATCAACGCCCGCCATGTAAAACGCCTATTGATAACTTTCCGAGAATACCAGCTCAAACAGCCGAAATTGATTGAAGAAACTTCTACGTAGCTTATTTTGTGTGTTAACAACGTTTGCTATGACTTTGATAGCAACTCCTTGATCGATAAGAAAGATAAGAGGCAGTACGAGTGAGCTTAAAAAAAAAAAAGGCGTTTGATTTCTTCATGTAAAATATTTTAACTTGCTGAACAGAGGACAATATAAGAACTTTTTTTTTCATTTTGCTTTCAAATAAAAGAGTTATTTTCCTCTAGAATTGGAATAGGAACTTAATATTTGATCCCAGCGGAAAAATAATTTCAAGCTGTTATAAAGGCGTCTGTTTTACCGAGGTTGTTTTCGAAACTTGGGTGTTATGCCCTTGTCAAAACTAAAAGAAAAAAAATTCATTTCGAAAGGGTCAGTTAGACGTCTAGCATGTCCATGATGGCTCAGAGATCAAATCATAAAATACATCTGCTAATTTTTTTAATCTCGTTCTGAGAAACATGGGTGTTATAACGTTTTATTTTTAAAAAACACTTCGAAACTTCGAGAAGTGTTTGGTCTCCTTAATAAAATATTTATGTCCCGTATGTTTTCGCTCGCGTCAGAGAATCGGCACTTGGCATCTGGTCTATTCAGCTGGCTATACAAGGCAATAATTCTTCCAATTTATGTTAAATCTTCTATGTTGTAGAATTAATGAACCTCCAACGGAAAGATGAGGCGTATTATCTTGGCTCCACCCTCAGAGACATAAAAATTTATAGTGAAAAGTGAAAAAAAATTCCCGTGATAGAGCTTAAACTTTTTGTCCGAGGACAGAATCTTTAGCTTTGATTCCCTCAGGCGGGAAGGGTCAAGGGTTTGCGTTAGTTATGTCTATTTCCAAAAAGAAATTAAAGTAAGAAACTTATTTTCCACCAGCTTCAAACATGATTGATTTTGTTAGTATTTTCACTTATAGGAAATGAGTCATGCATAAATTGTCTGAAGTTATAATTTGAGTTTTTTTCAACAATGAAGTACAAGAATATTACATTATAACAATACAAAAGGAGACACAGGGTTTTGTTGATTTTTTTTTGACATTTTATGCATTTAGCCAATAGAACAGGGGGAAAACTTTCTAGCTTCAAAAACAATTCAGTATTGCTTGGGTTTTGTTCGGAAAATGTTTTTCCAATTCTGTCAAATATTCAATTTTTGCTAAAATATGATTCATCTTCTGGTGTTCTGTCTGGCATGTGCAAGGTTGATTTGCAAATATTTTTTTTAAATTTGTTGACAGAAAAATCTTTAATTGAAACATCAAAAACATTTTGTACCGAAACCTGCGGTCAAAGCTGAGTTCAAAAGATAGCTTACAAAACCTTGAGTTTACCAGTTTGTTTTACGTCAAAGAGATCAAGAAGCTTTGCTACTTTACCGAAGCCAAAAAGGCTTTAATTCGACTATAAATTAGCTTTACTACAGCATTGCAATGTTTGGCTTTAGAGTTTGGTGACAGGTTTAACCTGGTTTCTTATTCATCAGATTTTTTAAGCGTGTAATATCAAATGTTTGTGCCATACTTCGAAGTTTCTTTCTTTTCCCTCTTCCCTCCTCCTTCCCTCTCTTCCACTTTCTTGACTAAGTCTGGATTTAGTTGTGTGCACTTTGATAGTTTGGCTGAGGGCCAGTAGCTTGAAATAATCATTGAAATAATCTTTGTGGTATCTTACAGAAACACGTCGGCTACGAGTAATCAAGATGTCAGTATCAAATACTTTCATACTAGCAGTGTTTTGCTGTCATCTCTTGCTTGTTCATGCAAAAGCGCTGGAAGACAGCACAAAGGAAGCTGCTGACGAGAATGATGTCCCTGCTTTTGCCGAAGGAAAATTTACGAGATCCTTGGAGAATGATCCACAGTACTGGAAAGGACGTTTTTCTGACATTGTGGGTGAATTAAGCGATCCTCAGTATTGGAAGGGCCGGTTTAGTCATGACCAATACTGGCAAGGTCGTTTCGCAGATACTGGATCTGAAATGGATAAGAGAGAGCCTCAGTATTGGAAGGGCCGATTCAGTAGAGGAGAGGAGGAACAACAGCTGCGGTCTGCAGTCCCCGGACGGTTTGGAAGAAATTTCCAAGGCCGCTTTGGAAGGAATTTCCAAGGCCGTTTTGGGAGAAATTTTCAAGGCCGTTTCGGACGTGAATTACAGGGTCGTTTCGGTCGAGATGAAATACAGGGACGATTTGGCAGAGAGGATCTCCAAGGTCGCTTTGGACGGGAAGACATGCAGGGCCGTTTTGGCAGAGAAGAGGAAGACCAGGGTCGTTTCGGACGTGACTTCATCCAAGGCCGTTTTGGACGAGAAGACCAAGGTCGCTTCGGACGGGAAGATGACCAAGGCCGTTTTGGTCGCGATTCGATCCAGGGCCGATTTGGACGCGAAGAACTTGACCAAGGGCGATTTGGACGTGAAGAACTTGACCAAGGGCGATTTGGACGTGACGAAATTGTTGAGGATGAAGATCAAGGACGATTTGGTCGCGAAGAGGACAGCGATGATCTCCTTGTAAAGTTAGAGAATAAACTGGAGGAAGACCACGATGCCAAACGTGAAGTTGCAAGCAGTCTAGACGAATCCAAGGATGAAACCTCGGAGTCTTAACAATGGAATTATTTGGTAAGTTTCAGAAATACTAGGATACTTAAAGGAGGGCGATTTAACACGACGCTTAGTGCTTAGCGCGCTACAATTGGGTTTGAATGCTCTGAGTTCGAGCTGTGGCCAGGTCATTGTGTTGTCTTCTTGTGCAACTTACGCTCACGGTACCTCTCTCAACCCATGAAAATGAAAAAGAATTAAAAAACACTTCAGGAAACTTAAAAATGAGCATGGGAGGATTAACAGCAGTGGACTGGCATCCTATCTGGGCGGTGGGAGATGGGGGTAACAGGAAATAACAGCGTGGGCTACTCAGCACCTCATACGTGACACTTTTTCAGTTAAATGATTAGAAAGCGTGTAAGGCGAAACGTGCACCAAGTTAACACAGTTATTTCGGCCTTAGTTAGGCATCAACATGGTAAAACATCACATCGCTCAACCTCTGCAATCGGAGTGATTTTGGTTGTAGGCTCGTTTTAATTGTTACGGATTGCCTCACCAAAATCATGTTTCAATTAGTCTTTTGATAGAATATAGGTTCGCGTTAATTGTTTAGCACACAGCAATTCTTTGTAGACCATTGGTCTTGCTTTCGTGGCTGATCACTAAAGAACCAATGAGCATGAAGTACAGCATGAGATGAGCTACCATTGTTTTCAAAATTTTCCTAAATAGGAAGGCTCACCTTCAGAATTACTTTGGAAAGATTCTTAACCCTTTAACTCCCAGACCAAATTTGTAATTCTCCTTATTGTCAACCATACAATTCTTATAATGTTACTTCAGGGAATTTAATATTGGATCAACTAATTATCCCCCAATTGATATTTTTCTTTATTCTCATCACTTATCTGGTTGACATTGTATTGATATTGTAAGGAGAAATTCTGTCTTGGTCACTCATGGGAGTTAAAGGGTTAAAGTACTTTAGTCCTGAGGGCTGGAGATAAATTTTAAAGCTTGGGGCTTAAGTGAACTATTTATTCCCGGCATGTTATTGAATTTTGTTCTCAAACTCTCATAAAAGCTGGTGTATCCTAGCAACATCATGCTGTGTTAAAAGCATCCTAAGGGTCTCTAATTTTTGACAGCTCTTATGTCTTGGTTACTGAGTTATCATCAACCAGCTTGCTTCCAACTCCGAAACAATGATGGTACAGTTTTTTTTAAAATTTCGTTTCGTTCTAGCACCAGCTGATTGGTTCACAATGTAAGTCGAAACTTTCGACGCGTTTAGAGATCTTTCGGCAGGTGTGCCTAGATGTCGTTATTTTCTTTTCGACGTTTGAAAATCATTATCTTGAAGTCTTTTTTCACCTCACAATGCCGATTCAGCCTAAGTTATAAAACAATTATATCATGCCTTAAAAAGGTAAGGAGATTTAAACTGACAATCCTGTTGAATTCTATTTGCAGGAATTTGAATAAAATGGCAGAAGAGAGAAAGAGTTCTATAAAACTTTACCACAGCTGCATATAAATAGCAATTGATGTAGAAGAAAGTTATTTCTTGGGTCATATACAGATTAATTGCACTCTCACAGTGACTCCCTCGTTTTCCTTTCATTGTACAAATCACTCTTGTGTGCTTGCAGGTTGACGTTTCTTTCACCAAAATCATTCTATAGATGTCAGTTACGTACAAGCTTGTTAATGCTAAGTAGTTTTCAAGAGAGTGAAACAAGTTAAGTTTAAGTATATCTAGATTATGAGTGAATTAAAGAGGTCAATAAAATGTGAAAACAAGTTGGTGTGTGAAACGAATGTACACGTTTGAAAGTTCCTCTGAGGAAAATCGGCACTCGTTTTAAAGTTCCTCTGAGGAACATCGGCACACTCAAGGTTATCACGTGGGATCGTTAATGAAATGAAACCTTAAAAACTCAGATCCGAAGACTTTTTTTGTCAGCAGATTCACCAAATGGTCATTGAAAGATTCTATGGAAATCAGTCAAAACGCCTAATAACGTGAATTGTATGTAATGTTCAGTCCATCTTCCTTACCGCTCTCTCAATCTCGTTCCTGCAGTGATTTTCGGGAACTTTCCACTTAGCCAAAACCACTGGTTTGAAATTGCGGGAAGAATTTGCTTCTTCATTCAGACCCAAGTCCTTGTTTTCTCTTTCGAATGCCAAGATCCAACAGCAATATCCAAGGTGGATGTTTTGGTTTGTGATTCAATTTTATGCCCATCATTATCTTCATGTTTGGCTTAAAAATGTCTGATTGTTTCCCTCTATGTGGAGATGTTTTAGCCCTTTAAATTGCCTCCTACTTATATGACGTTCTTTCACTGAGAGAAGTTTACTCAGCATCGAATTTCTAGATTGGCGGGGAAAATGTAGCGCAACGAATAAGGTATCATATCTTGTAAATGTGAGAGGAGTAAATTTCTCTTCAAACTCGACCCTTTGATACCTTGCAACTGGAGTACCTCGAAAGTTTTGCCGAGTGTGCGAGACAATTCCGACCAAAGAGCGTCCTTTAGGTTAAAGACCTTTAGGTCAGGAACATAGGAAACCAAGAGAGGAGAGATCAAAAATGGTGAGAAAAGTTCGGGAATGCAATAATCTTTTAATAATCTATCTGCAGCGTTTGGGAAAATTAGTGGGAGACGAAAGACACGGGTGTGGAGGAAGAAAAATGGGGTAAAGGAAGGGGGAGATTTTTACTCCCAGTCTCCCAATTCAAAGAGTTCAAGAGGAAATTCCCAAGGACTGTTTTTGGGGTGAGGTTTCAAAAAGAAGAACTGCCACGAGCAAGGCTCACTGATGTCTCAAGTTCAACTGTATAACAACTTAGTAAGAACGTGTCTCCTGTAAATATTTTGAGAACCACTTTGAGAATTTTGTGAAAAATAATAATTTTATTCTATATCTTCATCATCGAGGTCTAGGTCATCCAGGTCTTGAAAAAGTGATTCATCTACCTTTACTTCACCTTAAAATAAAAAAAGCAACAAAATTATCCAAATGAAGGAAACATTAGCAGCTAATGGGTTCAATAGAACTGATGGGCTTTGGCCATGTAAGGGTGAATGTTCAGTACGATCTCTTTGTCAAATCTCACATTACAAAATAACTTTTTTTGGTATCTTGAGCATTGATATGAATCCATTGCCTGAGAATTTCAGAGTGAAAAATTGTAGACAACTTACTTTCTAAGAAGGCAGCATCTGAGTCTCTCATTGAGTCATCTTGTTCAAAGAGTTGTCTGCCTAAAGAAAAACACACCAAAAGAAGATTATCCACCAGTCTGGACATGTTTACTTTTGTTTCATGAGTCAACCAGACTTTCACAAAAGTGACACGTGTGTTGAATTTTCACAGACCTCAACAATAATGACATGATATTATATAAATAGGGTTTGGTCTCACAATAGTCTTTAGATACCACCTAAGGTTACCCACAGGTTGCCTTTAAAATTCACTGGTTCCTGTTTATAATCCCAGTTGAAGATGGGCACTGTGAAGATTTTGTCATACCCAGAAATGCAACATAATAACCTATCACAGGCAACCTCATTCCCAGGGTGCCAGAAAAAAGACACCCTGCAGGAACTAGGTTTGTGAGTAAAATTTGATGACTGAAAATTAGACAGCTAAAATTAGACACTAACTACCCAACTAATGAAATATAACAATGAGAATGATAAGAGAACATCTTGAGTAAGTTATTTTAATCAGAAAAACTCAATAAACTGCAAAAAAACAACAAGAGCATGTGTCTGTTGCGAAAATGTCTCTAATGTAATCCTAAAGACACCTTACCTGTGAGTTTTCCCTTAAGTATTTCATTTTTATTCTCTTTAGTCTGCATCATTTCTTGTTCAAAAGCTCTTCTCCAGGCCACAAATGTTTCCAGTGTTACTGGGGTACCTGAGAATTTGTTTTTCTCTGCGTCCTCGGCTTCTTTTTCCTTTCTCAACTTCTCATCTTCTTTTTCATTTTTTAATTTATCGGCGAATGTGTTGAGTTTTTCTTGTGCAGCTGATACTAAAGTGAAAATCATTGCCATCCCTAGGTTTTCTTGTGCCTATATGAGATTAATGATTGCCCATAAATTATAACTGCTTGCAAAACACTTTCTACCTTCATGGGTTTACTTTCAATTTCCCATATCTACTAACTGGTTGTTTTAGTTAAGAGTGGACATAATTTTTAAGCAAAAAATTCAACCAAGGATGGTTACTTTCCAAACTTGAACCACACATTCAAATGCAGTAATTGTAGAGTTTACTTGCTCCAAGAGCCATTTGACTCTGAAAAGATCAGTCATCAAGACTTATTACTGCACTTCTTTCTGTGGCAGATCACAAATATGTCAACTCTCCTGATCAGGGAATCTCCCTGGTACTCAATGGATCTTCTAGTTCCCTCATAGAGTTTGTTAAATCAACTGGATAGATGCTATTTTGCATTATCTTTGTAGGCAAAAGTGCATCACCTCTTGTTCTAAGTACTCTCTAAGTCCCTCTGCATCTGAATTATCCATCCCTTCAAACAATGGCACTTCAATAACAGGGGGCTCATCTGGATATGTGTTTACATAAGTGAACTGTAAAGTGGCACAAACTGAAACAAGAACATGTTGAGTAGTTACTGCTTTACTTACCACATATTTAAGTGTATTTAAGTGTCAGTTCCAATAATCCAGGCAATGTGTAGTTCTAGTAACTATCCATACTAATCACATTAAAGATCAGCCAAAATTACAAAGGTTGGGCCAAGTTTTTCAAAGAATTACATGGAAAGCTAAAATGGATTTTCCAAAGAGGCCAGGAGCTCAAAGCAGAAAATTAACTTTAGTTAGGACATGGAAACTTTCTAAGGTTTCTAACAAAATGAATAAAATAAGATGAATAGAATTTGCAACAAACTCAAACCAGTACATCACTTCTGCTGCTGAAAAGAGAAGTGTACCTGTATCATATGGAACACATTTTTACAAGCCAGATTAATTTTGTTTTGGTTTTCTTTCCAATATTCACTAATTGGCAACTCCATGACAGCAGTCACACTGCCAAAGTATTAAATTATTTGTCAAGCACAGTAATGCTTCTCCAGGGATTCAATTTTGCTATGTTATGATTACCTCTACAGTCCTCATCTTCTGGTTTTTCAGGTTCACTAGCAATTGAAACTTGAAAACAACATGGATCACTTTCAATCTCTAAGAGAGGAAGTAGAAGAATGTAATGTTCATCTGGTTATACTAATTTCAGAATACATCCTCATTAAACTCCTAAGATCTGATTGTTGATTCTCCCCTCTAGCTGTTACACATTTCCTTGTAAATTAGTTATGAGAACTTGGTTCTAGATCAAGATAGCAGCTTCTACCTAATGAGTTTGAATATTCTCATAACCTGTTTGCTGAATAATGTATGGATATCTAGGGAGAAGTTTCATGTTAATCACCTTTTAGAGTTAAAAGGTTAAACACTCTGACTTAATGGGATGATATGTACTGTATATACGTTAGAGAAAAACAAGAAATACAATAATAAATTCAAATCAACATCAGTATCAGAGCAACTGCATACCTACCCCTCCCCTAAACTAACATTAACCCTATCTTGTCATCAGTTGGCTATTATTGAGGTAGGAGAGGGGTAGGTCTGCAATTGCTCTGATACTGACAGTGATCCATAAACTCTTCCTATTTTAAACAGGAGTGACCAAAGAGGAAATTCTCAAAACCAGATTTATTTATCTGTAAGAAGAGAGGTGACGAGAAGTAATATGATGATCAACTAAGGGATATGATTTAACTGCTGAAATAACAAGAGATGTGGGACAGAACTTTATTTGGGTTCACTTCTCGTAATTTAAGAGGGCTGGTCTTTCTCTTTGAAAGAGAACTGCATGTATTTAAAGGAAAGTTTTCTTAATCCGCGATGTGTATTTTCAAGTCTTTTGTCTCTAAGATCCCATTTAAAGATTGATGAGTATGCAAAAATCCTAGCACAGAAATATAAGAAAAATGGGAGAATCCGTACCGATCATGTAATCGAAAAAATCGAATGAACAGATAATCAGAAAATAAACCTCTTATTTTTACCAGACGAATTCTTCGATTGCGCGCTAAACTCATTCTGGTGAGGATATCTTACTTACGAGTAAATTCTTCCGGGTATATGGAACTTAGAGCTTCAAGTTCCAGATCTTGTTCTTCTTTGTGGTCTGTCATGACTGGAAAACCTCAGAATTCTCAGTTCTCCGAAATAATTAAAAACTAAATAATAAGTCGTTCACATGTTTCAGACTTGGAAAAAATTCATAGTTCATCCGCCATTTTGGATTTTTTGGCGACATGTGCAAGCCTCGTTTTAAAGTCTCTAGGAATTTTCTACAGGGGAGGTATTCTCAAAGCGCCCTTCAGATAGTTAATCCCTCGCCCATTACTTCCTCCAGGGTCAGTTTGACTGTAACTAAATCTTAAAAGTCAAACTCTAAATAAGTTTAGGTATTTTTTTCCCCAATTTTGTACCTTAATGTATCAAAAGGTGTCAGCATTGGCATCGAGGTTACTGTTCTTTCCCCCACACAGTAAGGTCTTGTTATAACTCTCCCATAATGCACTGCAGGGATTCTTGTCCTTGCATATGGCGATTTTTGTCATGACGGTGGAACTTCGACGAAAAAACTAGCTGAAATTTCCCTCTTAAAATGGCAGAAAATGAAGAAGGTAACCACCAGATTAACGTTAAATAATTTCAGTTTGTAGTAAGCTAAGTCATATTTG